GGGAAGAAAAGAAGAGCCAAACAAAAAAGGAAGTTCCGTGGATTTAGAAAGGGCAAAAAAAAAAAAAAAAAAAAAAAAAAAAAAAAAAAAAAAGAGAAAAGAAAAGAAAAGAAAGTATAGAAGCATCCGTAGATGATTGTGCTCAGCGTTCCATGTTCGCCACGGCAGTCATGACGGAAAGGATCTCTCAACGGCTTGCTAGGTAAATCTTACAATAGAGGCAGAATGTAGCAAGTGCTGTCAAGGCATAAGCTTACCCACACCACGGTGTAGTAATCGGTGGTAAGTGGCTTGGCTGAACAAAAGATGTAGGGTTTAAAACAATAACCATGGAAGGATCAAGTGGTAGCCGAAGCATTTCAGACAACGGAGTAGTGATGGTAGCACTCAACAAGGCACAAGAAGAAGAACGAAAGCAATGAATGTGGATGGAGTCAGAAGCAAGACAAGGACAGGGAGAAGATAGAGATGCATGTGCCATAGAGTCATTGTTGGTGCAGAATCCTGAATAATATAAGTAAGTGGAATAGACTCACATGTATCAATTGGCAGATGACGAGCAAGTTGAGTCAAGAATGAGGAAGGTTATTTTGCATCTATCACTGCAGCTTTCAATTTTGAGATGCAACCCTATATGTATGTATATCGGTTATCTCAATGTTCCGCTTGTCCACGTCAAGGAGATAAATGTTGGGCTCAGGGCTCCAATTTGGCCTCTCGGTGGATTAATCAGGAATTGTGACAAAGAAGATGGAAAATTGAATCGCAGAGGACTGTTAGCCGCCGTGCAGAACGAGCAGTTGACTGGTAAAAATGCCCTGGACCGGCAGTCGAGGGATCTGGTCGCTTGATATCTGTTTCCCGGTGTTGGATGAAAAACCACTTCCTTCATGTCATGGTATTTTCTCCTGCCCACACCAACACGACGCCCACTTTCTCCGCTGTCTACCTAGCCTGGCCCCTTTACGGTGACCAATGAGCGATCCTGGTAAGATGCGGCGGAAATGTCTGCAGAAGCTCGTTGTGCACAAGCCCTGGGAGCTTCAGGTTGCCAATTCAAGCTTGAAAGCGAATACCACTTTCGCCACGAGTTTGCTGTTGAGTTTAGTCGAGGCCAGGGTCAAAGACATTTGTTGTTTCCGATCCATGACTGAACAGAAGAAAAAGAAAAGAAACGGACTACAATGCGTGCTGCCTTTGGGATACGCTTGCGCGAATAGAAAAGGCGCTCTTTTGTTTTTCTTCCGTTTTCCATTTTCGTCCCTTCGGCACACTCCACCCTCCCCCATTTATTTCCCAGAAAACAATATGCTTCACCTTTTTTCTTTTTCTTCCCTCTTTTTTTTTCTTTTCTTTTCTTTTTTTTCATTGTTAAATTTTTTATCTTCTTATTTTATTTTCTCTCGATTTGATTTTTTTTTTCTTTATTTATATTAGTGGGTGGAGTGAGCAATTGCCTTCCAGGCTGATAATGGGTGTATCAACTAAAATGGCGCGCGAAAGGGATAGAAAAGAGTTTGGGACCCTGTCGAAACCGTTGGAGAGACACGGCATTCGTTGAAATCCATGTTACATCCCCATGGTCCACGTCTAGGCAGATTTCAAGGCTGCACAAACTCAAGAGCAGAATGGAGACCAACTTGGACATGGTTCAGCTGGCGGCGTGATTGGTGAATTGTCCATACTCCATACAGAACATCACCGGCAAAGTCAGCTGTCCTTAGTGTGAACTAGTGTGAACACCCGGCGAACGGCAAAGTGCAGCAAAACAAATTAGAATGGTGCTAGAACGGATTAGTAGCGACGATCATCACTCCGGGAATCGTGCAGACCCCAGTCGCATGACGGAGACTGTTGATAACTACTGAGCTTGGGCAGATGCAGACAACCAATAGCTTTCAAGGCCATTGACGAACGGTCGATGTGCTCCGTAAAAAATTGTACAGTCCCAGACAGGGGCCTGTGGACCCAAAAAAAGAATCCATGTTCTAGGCATGAGCTCCGGCCTTGGATGCTCTCAAGAGGATCTCGGGTGCTTGAGGCACGAGCAGCAGTAGCTCTTGCATGAATGAGAGATCAGGCGATCGACATGTTCGATCCAACGGTTGTTTGATTTTATTATTGTCATTTTTATTTTATTTTTTCCTTTCTTGTTGCCGTATGGCGGTTTTTCCACTCACCGACATGGGCTTGAACGATTTGGAAACGATTCGAATCCAAAATGCGGCCGATACAAAGAGCAGTGTGTAGTCATGACCCGCCCCATACACACTAATCGGTTAGAACTTTTGGCCGTACTAGTAATAGTTAGGGAAAATACTCTAGCAACAATGATACCTTCTTCCAGTCACACCACCCTTGCCCGGTACGGACGAAGTAACCTTCGCTGTACGGAGCACACGGCAATGTTTTCTAGAATCGAGAAGAGGCACTGATTGGTGAGAGGGCAAAGGAGACCGCCGAACCTGAAGCGGGAAAAAATACTTAGTAGGTACTCCGTAGTGGTCTCTGGTATCCCAGCCAGTGGGGGCGTAAGTGTCTTCTTTCTCGCTTCTTTTCTTTTTCTTTCCTTAATTTTAATTAGTTTTGTGTTTTCCCCTTTTCCTTTTTCCTCTTATTTTCTGGCTTCTTTTCCTTATCCGGTGAAGGATTATTATGTGGCTGCATGATCATCCAGGCTCGCAGGAAGCTAGTTGGTTGAGATGTGATATGCACCGTGCTGAAAAAAGTAGCCAAGGATGTATAATTGGTGGAGACGCAGTGCTGGGGTTTTATTTGAGAGCCATTTGTTGGAGGCCTGTATAAGGGTATGGAGTCCCTAATGGAGGGAGGGCGAATGTCGTGCAGGATGTGTCCGCGGGATGCGGCGCGAATTCCATAGTAACCTTGAACCAGGGGGGCCTAGAGACGGAGGTTGCATTTCAAGCCAGGGTAAGCCCCATTAGCCCGTTGAATGGGGCCTGTCGGCGGGTTGAAGTCCAAGGGTAGGGCGTCAAAGACACATGAGATTCAAATTTCTCCCTAGAAAGGACATTGCTGATCGGTCATGATGAATGAGGTGTTGATGATATCGGCAAAGGGGCGAATTTTCTCCTGAAAGGTCAGAAACAGAAAGAAGGCATCGAACTGGATCCTTTTCCAGATGGTAAACATCTTAGGAATTTGTTTGTGGAGTTGCTTATTTCCCTGCTTATTCTTTCCCCTTTGAATTTCGTGCGCCTGGTTCGGCGGAGACACACCAAAACATGAATCGGGATGCATCGTGACGCTAAACCCAACCCGACCGAAGGCACGTGCCCCGCATGGGGTCACCTCCAAGGAGTATAGCGGCATACCTGCATGGACCTTCTTCTTACAACAACAATTGAGCCTTCAACCATCCACCCCGTTATCGTCCCTGTCCTTGTCTCTTCCGTCCCATCCATCCATTTCTTTTATATATATATATATATTTATTGTTATGGCATCCGACTGACTAGTAGCCTTGCCGTTGGGACCGTCAGAAAAACCTTGTTCAGGCAACAGTCCTCGTCATGGCCTTCCGTCCATTATTGGCATGTCCAGATAGATGCCCTCCACGATGGCCGCCTACACAATAGCAAAAGTTTATTGCTTGCTGTCTTGGCCGCCATTCACAGCTCGATCTAGAGTCCACTAATACCCGTGGGGACTGATTAGCGAATCACAGAGTATCATCTTATGGAGACACAGATACCGTGACTCGTGGGAAGCAAGCCTACTCCTACTCCGAAGGAACCTTTCTCCACTGCCGATGTCCCTAGTGAGTAAACTTCTTTAACTAATTCCTTTTTCTTTGTCTCAACTGGCCCCGGCCTTTCCTTGGTTAAGAGAGGCCCGTCCGCCCGGAAACCCGTCCCTATTAGAGTTCGAACAAGGTCCCATTCAAGACCGTGGCTTCTAGCCTATCCGGGAATGTGTTGGACCTGTCCTAGGGTTGCCCGTGCTAACATTTTGTGCAGATGGAGTACTTCCGATTGACTCGCATCTTCAGTGTTCCAGGAGCAATAGCTGCGACACGCTCTTCTCTTCACCTGCTGACTTTTTCTACCCGCACTGGTGGTGGCTGATACGCTCTGCGGACGGCACTCCTGTACGACAGTCGAATAATTACCTTTATAAGCCATAATGGAGCGAAGGGACAGCCATGACATGCTCCTATCTGCAACTGGCCGATATTACGGTTTGGACCATCAAGATAGTCCGCACATCGGTTGTCATGCCAATCAAGGCAGCTGAGCTCATCTAGAGTCCAGAACAATCGGCTTTAATTTCCGGGATCCCCTAATGTTCCCACGTCTGAATGAGTCCTTGGCAGACTTCTAGTGCCCCAACTTCAGCTGCCCGACGAAGTGTGATTTCCACTTTGCATCTGGCCCCATTCATTCAGTTATTCTCAACGGACCATCACATCGAGAAGATGATCTCGACAAGGTCAACCGCGTCCCTCATGCTAATGTACAGGTACAGGATAAAACTGATAGATACGATCGTTCTGGCGTCCAAAAGCACAAGCGGTCCAATATATTTTCATGAACTACTATAATGGGAGCACAAGTATCACTGCAACGCGTGTCATAGCCGACAACTTGCGCTAAAAACGCTGTAGCCTCGGACCCGAAAGTATTGGATGCGGTCTGCATAGACTCTGGTCAGCCACTTGTACGATTTTCCAATTGCCATCAACTAGGATTCTTTGTCAAGGTAGGGTCAGGTGTAGTCTTGTTGTAAGGCACCCTTTGCTTGGTGAGTATAGCTCTCTTTGGTCTTGCCACCACCTGTAGTGAAAGGATGGCCTCTGGCCACTACCTGCTTTATTGATATTGCCCTGCATCTTGTCAGCTACAAGGGCTTTCGTTTCTAATTTCCGCAATATGACTCTTCCTCACCAATTGCAATATGCATCTGCTTGTTCGACAAAGCTCGCTATAACTACGAATAGGCCTGCAGCTTTTTCTTTGGGCGCGCCCGCAAGCCGGCGCATCTTTACTACATCCATCCTGTCTGTGCAACTTCTTAGTCTATTAGTCAGTCGATTGATTATCTATGCTGATGTCTGTCACCGGTGCATAATACAGCCCGGTTCCAATATTGATGCGAGTGGTGCTGGGATACACTGAATAGTGACGCCCTATCTTTCCTGTTCCCTTTTGCCAGCCCATGGCGGTAAGGCTTTACAGGTAAGCTGTATACTCTTCTCAGGTCATGACTGACGTGTTCCCAGCCTCAGCAGTATCCCCTGTTATGCAGCGTACGGAGAGCGGCACGAATAAATCTAGCAACGAAAAAGAACCGAGAAAGTCGCCGGTGGCTGCGAGGCATATGCCTGCATGGAGTCTGATGATGGACCAGTCATAAAACCCGATGCGCTAAAGAAAACGAGATGAAGGGCGGCCGTCATGCCTGATTGAGCGGTAGTGGCAATGGTGACGTTGATGGAGCTTCAGCCAACGGACTGGCATGTCCAAGTGCACGAGGACACAGAGCGGGCAGTGGGATCCCATCTGCCAGTCCTGTACGCTCTTCGTGTCGCACAGAATGAAGCCAGAGGGTCTGTCTCAGAGCCAAGAAAGGCTAGTTTCAGGACTTGCTGGATACGTCCTCCCAACGATACACAAAACCATTGTTGACAACTTCCCGTTCCATACCCGTTTTATGCAATGTAACCAGCCATCTGGACACACAGCACCATTCACAATCCTTCCGAGCAGCGAATGCTCCGGGCTGTGAACGAAGATTACACGAAACCGAATTGATCAGACTGAATATCGAGAGCCACTGGCCTGGCGCCACGCTCTGAATAGTCCCGTACATCTGCTCGTATGCTGGGAGATGTCCTCTATGGCCCGGGGGTCATGGCGGCTCGATATCCATCTCACATCGGGTCATGCTCTCCATACAAGGCGGAATCGTCTACTCGAGCAGTGCGTCGTTCCCGCTTGCCATGCCGATTTTCTTCCCTAGACAGACACACATGCAGAGCTGCCTTGCCGATGACACTCATGACGAAGCTCATGCAAACACACTATCAGCCAACAGCCTTCCACCTGTACCGAACGACAACACAGCCTCCCTTCGCGATTGTCATGACCAATATCTCAGCATCCCCGGCATTCATAGACGGCTAGCTGTTGGCCCCCAGACCATCTACACACTGACCATGATCTTGGCTCGTTGGTCCGCACTCTGTAGGCCCATGGTCGTTATTCACCATGCAGCTAGTCTCTGCAAAGCCTGATCAGTACAGTCAATGCTGCCTTGTCGCGCACCGAGTGGCTCAAATCTAGGCCTTCTTGACACATGCCGCCAAATCATAGAACCTTGTCAGCTAATACGCATTGAGTCATCATAGCAAGGATCTAATAACCAACTACCCGAGACATACCAAGCAGGAGGCTCTTCAATATCTACCATCTGATTTGAGATGTAGACCCCAGCCAGCCTGTCGATACCTGACGGACGATGATACGGAGCATTACCCAAATAACCAATAAAACCAGTTCCTCTCCGTCCTAGAACCTAGACAGTACTACTAGGTTCCCAAGTAAGCAGGACCGAATCTTTTTTACTTAACTACTCTAATACATACACTCTATGTAGTGTGACTCCAACGAACAGATTGAAATACTTTTGTTTTTTAGTTTGAACCTTCTCCCTCGATCTAAGAATACTTCCACCCGCGATCGATCAATGCACGGAAAAGTAAAAAAGAAAAAGAGGAGCATGCAAACAAGCAAGCTTGCCTTGCCTTGCCTTGCAACTCAGCATGACAAATAGACACATTGAACCGGAAGAGAGTAGTGCGCGAATAAGGAAAAGAAAGACCAGACCACGCTACTTTTTCTCTGTATCAAATCGACCCCCAAAAAAGCAAAGAGAGAAGACGACACACACTCACACACTCACACGCACGCACGCACGCACGCACGCACGACACATTGGTATGCCTTTTGTTCTTCAGTAATCATCATTATCGATCGGATCATACAATACAAAGAAAAGTAGTCAATAGATGAGAGATGAAGATCTTCTTCAGCCATGGAAAGTGTGGATGGATGGAGAAACCCGCCTGCCTGACGAAAAGAGACCCAAGGGTGTCATGTCATGATACGTACGGAAAAACCAAAAAGCAAGAGAGGAAGAAGTTAATAAGGAGGAGAATAAAGTGTGGGAAGAAAAAAATGTGGGAATTGGAAATTTGGAGGAGAAAATCTAAGTGGCACGCTTGGCGAATTCGACGCGCAGGATAAGGTGACGGTAACCGACTAGATGAAGAGGAAATATTAGTTGCGATTCCGATAACTTGCTTTGTTGCTGACATTGCAACGATGGCAATGGAAAAAACAAATATGACGCAGAAAAAAAAAATGAAATGGGATGAAATGAATGAAGTGGAGGGATAACTTACAGCCATCCATCTTGTCGCAAGCACGTGCAGCATCGTCCCGATCCGCAAAGCTGATGAAAGCGAAGCCCTTGGCTCTCTGGGTTTCTCTGTCTCTGGCAAGGAAAACTCTGGTGACACGACCGAAGCGTTCGAACAGATCCCGCAGTTCTCCTTCCTCTGCCAACTCGCTCACCTGTTTGGGTTTGTTGTCAGTCAGTGATGTGTCCGTGGGAAGCCAAATGCAATAGAAGCAAGGAAAGTAGAGGAAGCTGATTGCTGTTCTCATGACATCCATGTGTGTGCCCGAAAGGGCTGCTTCCTCTTTCTCTCTTTCCCTCTCTCTGAACAACACCAATAGGAGTGTTTAGAGGGCAAAGAGAGGGCAGAGCAGGCAAGGAAAAGGAGAGAGAGAGAGGAACAGAAGGAGGAAAACTAGCATCCCCTGTCCCCTCTACCCCTCCCCCCTCCCCCTCCGGAGAGACCAGCAAATAGCAAAACAGTGTCCATGAAACCAAGGACAAGGGTGAGGTAATTGGGGAAAAACTCACGTTCGTAACTCTCAGAGTCGCCAAATCATCCTTCTCGTACTTGCCAGCCATTCTCTCTCCGCCACCAGCAGCACCCTTCCGCAGATGAGGGGGCACGTAGCTAGAAGTACCAGCACCCAAAGCGCCAGCAGCCGGAGAATCCTCAGCACCACCCTCACCACCAGCAGAGGGCTCGTCGACAGGAGCCATAGTATCCTTGAAGGGACAACGAGCAGTAAAGTGCTCGCCACTGCAAATACGACACTTGACCTTCTTGTCCTTCAGCTGATCCTTCATACTGCCCTTCTCGCCACCATTCTTCTCCGCCTCGGCCGCCTGAACCTTCCAGTTGACGCTGGGCCGGAAAGCAATGTTCTCACCCACGGAGGTCGTATCGAAGGAAGGTCCGGGCGCGTTGCCCTTCTCCAGACCGAACTTGGCCCAGGACCTCCGCTCCGCGACCTGAGGGTTGACATGTTCGCGAACAACGGTCGTTTTGATCCGGCGGGTCACCTTCACCTTCTTGCCCTCGTCGTTGAATCGGTAGGAAACGATCGTCTTCGTGCCATCTTTGTTGGTCGTGATTTGCTGCGGAGGGAGAGCGGAGGGGTCGTCGAACTCCTCGTCGTCGGCCCAGTCGGCGCGGCTGGAAAGTGGAAAAACAGTCCTGGTCAGATTTTCTTTCTTTTCGTTGTCTTCTTTTTTTTTTTGTCGCTTCTTGACCCTGGATTTTCGGGGGTTGGGGGGGAGTTTCCGCTTACTTTCCAAGCTTCGACATTGTGTGTGTGATGGGGGGGTTGATGATGTCGCCGATTGTTGCTGAATTTCTGGATTTCAGCGAAAGATGCAAGATCCGTTGTGGATTTGTTCGGCGCGGCAAATGCCTTGTGGCGCATGTTAAGTGTGGCTGGTGCTTCGGTGTCTGGGTCACGTGATACATAGGGTGATGGCTACGGTTGGTATGCATGCACCGAACATCTTTCTACTATAAGACGGTTTTTTTTTATGTTCTATTTTCTTCAAATTTAGATACATATTAGACGGCCTATTAAATGAAGATCTGCCTCGATAGCTATATCAATCTTCCACGGCCAAAAACAAATCAAGATGAAATATGCCCGACGCAAGTGTTCTCCGTCCGTGGGTAACCCTTCTCCTTTCGCATTCTAGATTCTCTCGTAAACAATTGGCTTCAGGCCACTCAATGTGTCCATGAGACAGCATCCAATGGCGGCGCGCAAATTTCATTGTTTAGACATAGTCGGCTTTGACACTCCCGTAGTTGCGACCTTCATACCATAGCGTATGTTCACAATGAGCGGAATAGTACTCCGCATGGATCTGAAAATCAATCGCGTAGTAGAGCTCGTCATCTGCACCACGGCAAGTTGGGATGCGATGCTGTTCGATTTGACTGAGGATTGGATTCAACTTGGCATGTTTCTTCACGTCTAAAAACGGCTTGTCAATAACTTATGATCATCCATATTCAGCTACACGATAGTAGTACTCACGGCGATTGAAGTACAGAGGTAGCTTCTCACCCATAGGAGTATCGAGCTTGTAGAGAGTGACACGAATTGAATCGACTGTGCCGTCCTTAACAAGTTTATGCTTAGACCATCTCATCTTAATAGCCTTCGCTTCTTCAATATCGTCCCCCTGAACATGTTATCAGAGATCAGAAGTGTGCTCGAATATCGGTCCATACCTTGGAAACAAACCAATGCATAACGTCGATACAGAACTTTCCTTTTCTGGCATTCCAGTATCTGGCATTATCAGACCACTGGAACATAAAAACCAAAAGACGGATGTTGAAACACATTGGGCAGCGATCGCCACATACTTCTTCTTTGCATCATGCACTTTATCATTGAAGGTAGTCGAGTAAATCATTCCATAGTTTTCCCTTGCCTTGCGGGAATCGACGAATGGTTTTATCTCTGTATCAGATATCTCCCCAAGAGTCTTTGTCAATGCGCCTCTGACAACAGCAGTCCAGCCGTCATCTGGAGCTACTACTTCGACTTCAGGAGAAAAGCAGCCGCGAAGATATGTGCGAAGGTATGAACTCTGTCCAAACCCACCAACCAAGAAAATTGCTTTGACCTGAGCGTTAGACGTCTCAATTTGCTCTCGGACAAGGTCCCCAATGTCTCGTAAAATAGGCAAAAACAGTTGCTGCATCTCTTGGCCAGTAACTCTGAATCGGCCGCGACGGACCCCGACTTCCTGGCTGTCTGCTATACCTGGAACAGGAAACATGAAGTCATCATCTGCATTGCCACTGAAGGTTCTTTTGGCAACGGTTTCAAATCGATGCATTGCTTCATCCAGTGTATCCCTGTCCCATCCAGGGAGGGAGGAGAGGCGGTCGTTTAGCAACTCTTCGAAGCGTCTGTTGAGAAAGGTGCTGCCACACAAAGATCCAGTACCGGGTGCTTCCTCCTTTAGACGCATATTAGGTGACAGCTCAATGATTGTGAAAGTGATAAGATCAACAGTGCCCCCTCCCGCGTCACAAAGAACGATGGTATCTCCGGCCTCCAGTCCATGGGGACTAGAAGCACGAAGAGAATGTATAGCAGCAGCCTCAGGCTCGGATACTATGCGTACTTTGGAAGCTTCTCCAAAACCTGCCTTTTCTGCACAGGACATTGTCGTCATCTTTGCTTTGTCTGACCAAATTGCGGGGACTGTGGTGACGAATTCAAGGCTCGTACTGTCCAGTGAACTACCAAGCTTCAACTTCAAAATGTCAACAGTATGTTCACGGAGGCAGCGGAGGTAATCCGTAACAACATCTACTGGTGATGAATGATAAGGGACTGGAATTCGACGACAATCGCTGTACGTTGAAGACAACCGAGATCCTATCCCAAGCTTTTCGTCAGGAACGAGGCCGAGCTTGATCCATTGGATTCGAGGCATGCTGTCAAGAAACTGAAATCCCCATAGACATTTCTTGCCAGACTTGGTGTACTCATAGGTGACCTCGCTGGGTACCTTATCACTAGTCAGCCCATCACATGTGTCAGAAGTATTCTGTGGCCATTGTTTGATAATGTAATGAGTATCTGGCTGGATAAGGTATCAGTCATATGTACCCAAGTACGGTAGCAATGCATTTGACAGACGTTACTCATTTGACCCCAAGCTATCCCTGAGTATGTGGTACCGAAATCCACCGCGATGACGATGGTCCTCTTATTGGTAGAACCAGCCATTTCTCCAATGTATGTAGCTCGTTCAACTGGTGCAGGATAACTGGCTCTTACAACAGGACGGTTTCAACCATAGTATGACGAACCAAATGCACTTGGTTCAGCTTCCCGGCAGAAGAAAGGTGACAGTAAGATAGAGATGAGCACTTGGTGATTCTGCATTGGAAGGAATTATCTTGTGGGATTCACTTAGGTGTTACCTAGTAAACATAGTTGCTGGAAACCTCATTCACTTGAGTACGTGGTCCTTGAGTCCTAAGAGAAAAAGCCCTCGAAAATTCACTACCAGGCCATATAGTTAGTATCTGTCTTGACAGGAATTTCTTTCCACACCGAGTCCCTCAGTTAGTAATTACTTTCCCTTCCTCATTGTACTTTCCACATCATTCATCTCATTCTGTTGTCACTCTGCTTAATGATAAAGAGCATTCTGAAAAATGGAAGAGGTAACTATAGTGAGTCGAAAAGAAGACATCTTTCCTTTCTGTTTTGCACAATATCTGATCATTACCCAGGTAAAGGCCGATCACACAGGTCAAAATGGACCAGTCGCCGACAGTCAAACCTTGAGTGATTCAGACGGAGAAGGTCAATCTGAACACGATTTGTTGCGACACTATAACCGCGTGGAAAAACTATCAGCGTCACTGAAGAATGAGCTATCCTCTCTTAAGCGTGTTTCTGTTGGTAGACGACATGTCATAAGTTCGATGCGACAGGAGAACGCCAAACTGAAGCAACGTAACCAGGATTTAGAAGAGCAGTTGCAAGAATGTCAAGCCAAGATCCTCAGATTCTCTCCATCGAGCGACTTGAGCGACACCACTGTCATGCAAGAGTTCGTTAAGATTCGGGATAACCTCTCCAACTGGATTGAAGGACTTCCGGAAATTTGCACGGACTTTGATACTCAGATAGGAAGCGCGTTGAAAGATTTCCAATGCCATCTTCATATGTCTAAAAGCATACACACCTACCCGCAAGGGCTTCTTGGGATTCAATCTGAGCTATTAATGCATACAGTCTTCCGCCGGCTCGAGGTAGAACTGCTCAAGGCCTCAGTTCCAGGGATGCAGGCATCGGATGAGGCGCTCTTAAGTGATCTTCAAGCGGGAATGGTATCACTACAGTCCAAGGGAGGTAAGCAACATGAGAGACGGTATGAGGCACGGCCTTCAGTGTCGCTGACACTGAAAGATATCGAAAATTTAAACCTTTGGAAAACAAACACCATTAGGGCTTATGTTGCTTGCCAAAGGTACGAAAGAGGTGTCAATGAGAAGTACAATGGCATAATTGATGATTTGGACAACCTTTTCACGCGTTTTGACTTTGAACACCACGTCAATTGGAACAATAAAATGGAAAGGTTGAGGGATGATATTTTGGAGCCAGCTGCAAGTCTCGCGACAAAGATGAGCAGTTCGCCCTCGCGATACCGGTGGGACTGGTTTCACGAGGCACACTTTCCTCAACGAGTCGTACGCAAGTACCATCTGGAACGGTTCATCGTGCAAGACGCCCGCACCCATAATCGGATTACTGTAGCAAATCTTGAGACTATGCCAGATGAAACCCCGATTGGTGAGCTCCTTGTCATCATTTTTCCGGCATTATTCCGCTGTACCGATAACGGGAACGAGGACAATCAAATTGAGAAAGCCGTCATCCTCATCCGTGCAAACGAGGACTTGCAGAGACAGAAGAGATCGGAAAACAGATCACGCATGTTTGGAAAAAGTGTTCTCCAGATGTTCAAGGATTCTGCTCTAGGACAGCCGAACTGAGGAAGTATTGTGTTGGCAAGAGAGCAACATCATGCATCACTCGCGATGGAAGGAACAACCGATAATCTATGGTCGGGTAGTCCAGAACTTGGAGTGGATTCATGAGACTTAGTTTCGAATGTTACTACTTAGTACCAAATAGATCACCATGTTTCTTAGACACTTCTGCATATTTCATTCACCTCCGGCACATCTGCACGGAATGGTATATTAGAATCAATGATTACGTCTATATACATAAAAGTCCAGCCAACATCATGAAAAGCAGCCAGACAGGTTCCGTACCACGGAACCGGCATCATCACATCCATCGTCGATTCCCAAAGGAGACATACATGACAACCAAGCTCAACCCATAAATCTGTATCCCAAATACAAGCCCTTGTTTTTAACCAACAAGAAAAAGAAAAGGTAGAAAAATCGACATGAAGAAAGGAAGAGAAACGCATTTACCGACCCAGCATTTTCAGCTCAATGGGCCTCAGAACGATATGCACGACGAAAGAAAAGAGGAGAGCCAACTCAAAACCGACATCACCATTACCAGCATGCTTGGCGATGGGACCTATGTACCATGTCTCACTCATACCAGTGACCATACCCGCAACACCGAAAGCAAAGGAAATACAAGCGGCGATACCATAGGGCAACTTGTTGGGCTTGTCATATGTCTCGGGGCGGTATCCGGAGAAGCCACGGCGAATGATGTGGTCGGCAAGAGCGACACCGGAGTAAATGGCCAGCCAGTAGGCGATGAAGTCCATCAGGTTCTCCAGGACTTCTTCGAAGTGAGAGTAACCGGGAATGGCGACGGCGATGGAGACACCGGAGGCGAGAAGGACCCAGATGAAACGGGGAACGCGCTGGGAGTAGCGACTCAGGACCTGGAGGGTCAAGGAAACGGAGTAGATGTTGGGGCAGTTGTTGGCGATGATGGACAAAGACAGGATCACCAGACAGAACTTGCCGAAGCCACCGACGGGATCAAGAACAGCGCCCAGCAGACCTCCGTTTCCAGACTGGCTGTAACCCAGGGCGTATTTGTTGTCTCCGCCGTTGATGGAAGTGGCGGTCATAACGGCAATACCCAGGAACTGGGTGAAGAGAAGAGGGGGGATCAGGCCTCCCCAGGCGGCGAAGAAGATCTTGCGGCGGCTGCGGTCCGCGGGCTGGTAGACGGTGTAATCGGCGGCGTAACTGGTCCAGCCAGTGGCGAAACCATAGACAGTCGCACCGTAAGACAGGCAAGAGCCGAGCTCGGAGGTTCCAGTTCCCATGGGGAGGTTCCTGAAATCACCGGAGTGGGCGAACAATCCGAACACAATCATGAAGACAATGAAGGTCGGGATCCAGCTGTAGTACTCGTACAAGTGAACGACCTTGTATCCGGCGAAGGTGACGAAGAGGGTGCAGATGGCGATGATCAAGATGCCTGCAAATCCAGGAACGTCGGAGTTCACAGCATTGAGAAGCTGGGCGCCGACGATGGAGTTGGCGGCGGACCAGCCCAGACAGGAGAGGACGTTCAGAAGGGCAACTGTAGCAGAGGGTATAAGTATATGATGGCGGTGGCCAGACTGTCACAGGAAACTTACTGATCTTAGTAGGCCAATAACCGAACCAGAACCGGGAGAGCACCATCTGGCGCAGACCAAAGGCGGGACCAAAGCAGGAGAACCAGCAGACAGTCAAGACGCCCAGCAGGTTGAAGAAGAAGCAGACGAGGATGGCATCGACGAAGCCGAGAGCGAAGGTGGAGTAACCAAGCACGCCGATAGCGAAAGAACTGCTCACCATGTTGGCCGCCAGCCACTGCGACGGGTCAGTTTGGGAGGGCGGTCTTGGAGCAGCCGGCAAGAGAGCCGACGAAGACGAAAGCACAAGGCAAACAAGAGTTAAGAACACACCATGCTGCTGATATTGAAGTACGACGTGTCAGTCCGTTCATTGTCCGGGACACGTTCGACACCTCGCTGCTCAATATTGAGCTTTCCCGCCAACCGTTGCAGCTTTGCGTACAGCGAATTGCCGTACATGAAACTCTCCCCAGGGACAGCGCCATCGCTGCTGTCATCCATGGGCGTTTTGCCCACCTGGGGGGCTTTTTCGAGATCGGACTCGACTCCTCCGAACATGGTGTTGGATTGGAAAAAGGTACGCGTATATCTCAACGGCGCAAAGTTTGAGAATGTGCTGACGTTGGGGAAATAACCCTCAGTCAGGAATCAAGTAGACTTGATAAGAAAGTCTTTTTTTTGGAACTCTTGAATACGAGAGCTGTAAAGCTCAGGTACCAAGTATAGTTCAAGGGGGAAGGGGAAAGGAAGGGAAAGGAGGAGACGGAAACCACATCTTTCTTTTTTCTTTCTTTCTTTCTCTGCAAGAGAGCGTGGGAGAAGAGCTCCTAATATGTGTTCGGAGGCAACGAGAAATTCTTCTCACACCCACCGTGACGAGGCCCACCCCACGAGATCCGAACGAGTATCAGGCACGATGATTGATCGCTTCTGCACCGACGGAGAAACGCCGCCACGACCGCGTAACAGCTTCCCATGGGCCCAGCTCCTGTCGCGTGTTCCGGTGGAGGTCCCAGCCCTGGCCTGGTCCGCCTTTCTTGTTTCGAGAAAAAACTCTCACGGTTACTTTTTTCTTACGGGCCCCACCGCCGCCAACTTGTCTTAGCTTAGCCCTAGTGCGCACAAGCTTATGTTGCCACCAATGATATGCAGCATGGCCCCATTTGCATTATTTTCATTGGAGGATACAAGGCTGGGCACATGGTTAAGCACCACATAGATCGCAGAAATTATCAGCAGTATGCCTTTGATTGGACATCTTTGTCTACCAGGACCGTGTGGGTCTGGTGGCGAAGGAACCCACGCTGATAAGGTCTCGCCTGGTGATAGGCACACCTGCGCCCGTAACCCTGAGAGATTTGATAATGATAACACTTCAGGTTCGTTAGGTATTTCGGTTTGTACGGCTTACCGCGATGCCTGCAGCTGGTCCCCCCAAGGCTGACCATCTCTGTCAGGCCCGATAGCCACCTATCTCATGGTGTTGATTATCTTCACCCCAGACTGTCAATTAGAATGCTAGGGGGTGTTGATATCATTCCTGCAGTCGGTCAACGCCGAAGGGCGCAGGAACTCTATCGTTGCCCTGCTTACTGCATGTAGACTTGCCACCGTTGCCTCATCGCACAGTTTTATTCCCTGTAGTGTAGTCATGGGGTCACAGGCACTGGGCTGATCAACGCAATAATTATGCCACGATCGCTGGTCTGTTGCGAAGCTTCAATTACCAGCCTGAGGCATTCAAATTTAGAAGCATCATCATAATCAACAATGACAGAAGCAGCTATCTTTCCCCAGACTTTGTTGATACCCCGCGTCATCGGAAACCTACGAAGAATTGTGCTTCGGGCTGACAGGGAAGCGGTGATCGCCGCCTCTAATCGCTATCACAATGTTTTGCCATGTGCAGCCGTCCGCGAAGCTTCAGCTAAGCATATCTGCGCCGAGCGATATCGACTTGGCAGACATGTGAAGTTGGATGCTGTTGATTGGGAAGAGGACATACTAATTTCACAGCTGACCATGAAGAGGCCTTGATTGGACGCCATGCCGTCTAGATAAGGGCCTCCTCGTCCATATCTCTGAGATGCAATAGTTGCATGATACGAACCTCTTAGCGCGGGAGCCCCTAAATTACCGCCAGCTCATACCAGCATCAACCCCGGAATGTCTGCCTGTTCTGGCCACTGCCATCATCAGATTGAGCGATAGTTCTAGGTCAAGTCTGGAGTATTGAGTGTACCTATCCTCCACCTGGCACCTGACACCTATCGTCATGGAATGCAGCACACATTCTAGAACAAAGATAGTATCTCAAACCGCTTGTGTCTGATACAGTGATACCAGCCGAACTGGACAGTCCATCGTTATCAGGGCCCTTCTTCCCCTTCCCGCCTAATCAACTAACTTCCGCCGTCTCCTTCTTTTCCCGTTTAGCAGCTAATTAAACCCGCCTGTGCCCTGGACTTGCAACCCTGCATTAAATCTTTACCCTTCCCTGTTGCCTAGTCCAATCCTTCTTTCTTTTATTTCTCTTCTTCGTTTCACATACCACTACCATCCACAGTGTACGAACAGCAGTGACACTGCAACACCCAACCAACCCGTGACGCTTCCAACTGTAATCTATCTACATACCCTACTACGACGACCCTCAGTGGAACCTTCACCCTGCCGCTCCACAACTGCAATCCGCACCAACGACCCACCGAGGAAACTTTCGGGATCTGAAGGGTGACTCCAACAGTAACTTTCGGGAAAGTAACCTAGAAAAAATTGGAAAGACGTTTTCCCGTCGTCGCGTGCTTGTAGTAGACAGTACCAAAGTAGGCATGTACCTGCGTGCCCAGCCACCAACGCAGACAATCGCATATGCCCCTCCCTATCAAGCTGAGACACGGAAGAGTCTTTCCTTCCTCATTGATATCGAGATACCTACATTAAGATTTTTATTTATACATAAATGCACATAATCCCCCTAACCCAAATAACTAATTATTAATTATCAATCCAAATTCATACAAGAACACACAAAAAAGAACGGTACCGAACGCGTCTCCCAACCCCGAACGAACTTTCTAAAACTACGCGTCGGATAACCCGTTCTAGTGCCCTCGATAGAAAAAATTTTCATTTTCCCCTTCCATACTACTTACTACTGACTAATCAATGAATGAATGGATGAATGGATGGGACGGTTCGACCCGCCAATCCCAACGCAAGTCTCACCAGTCCCGATTCAGCTCTAACTTAATACTATCGGGTCGGTTTCCCGAGTCTGCCGAGCATTACCATTTTATGCCTACCGTGGGCTTTATAGGATGCTTCGTATGGAGCAGAATAGTAGGTGCCAAGGACCAGCCAACCAACCATTCAATTATTTAGTTATAACTGTAGACAGTTACTAAGCGGGGGTTTTTGCCGAGCCGAAGCCATAGCTAAAACTATTCCATTCTTCTTTTCCTCATTTTTCTTCCGTTCTGAAGTGGGCTAGATTGTAGTTCGCTACTGAGGATTAGTGAGTCAGAGATTTGATTTCTATACGAACTCCGCGGTAAAGATCAAATCAGATTGGATAAACTTGTCCTTGAGGCTTTTTCTTTTCTTTTTCCCGCCCGTCAATATCTTCCAGTTTCCACCATCCACAACTACTATCCTCTGGGGCGGTTGGAGATACGTACTAACCACAAAATACCTAGACTCTTTCTGGATAAGGATATGCAGGTACAGACATGCCTCACTAGCTAACTACTTAGGAACTAGCTTACTTGCTAGATATATACTATTACTGAGTAATGGTTTGAATACGGGTGCCTGTTTGACTGAGTGACTTACAACTGTGGCACTAGACTGCTTGTAGGTAAAATGTTGTGGCTATTCGCCTTAGAACGCTGGGGCGTTGAAAATGTGGGTTCGGAGATTGGTTAATTAGCTCACTTAGGTGAGGCGCCAAGGGAGAGAGGGATGACGTGGGGAGGGGGGTTATGTTCTTGGTCTACGGAGTGGTTTTGGGATTATGCTTTGAGGAGCGGAAGTGTAGATTTTTCTTTGTAGTAGGTTATTGTCGTGTAGGACTAGGATGTGCATTTTGGAAGTATTACCTAGTGGGTGCTTAGTTAGTAGTATTGTGAAGGTTCAATTGCTTCCAATGTTCGGAACATTGCGTTGTGCTGCTGCTACTGCTGCTGAATGGATATATATTTAGCATCATCATCTTCGGCATCTTTCCGTGATCTGCGGTAAACTATAAGCGTACTATCATGAGAAGGGTAGCTATCGCGCTGTACTAGGTGAGTGATTGTTAACATATTAGTAGTAACGGGGACAAATGACAAGTGTGTCATTACGTAGGTGATTGTCAGAAATCAGCCATTGGTGATTAAGTTGACCCGGATCAAGTATAAGCTTAAATCTTCATTTACATGCCACGGAATGGTTAATGGATCTACGCTTGTCAGAACATCCAACACTCTGTTCAGCACTAGTATTCATTCACATCATATGCATACAATATATACCGAATAATGTGACATGGAAAAGTCCATCAAGTATCTGACTTTCCCTTCTCCGAACAACTAGCACCCCTCTCCCCTACCTCTCCCACCTGCTCCACTCCATCTACAACCAAACCCTGCACATCAGCCGGTCCCTTGAACTGCTTCCGAGCTGTAGTGAACCACGTGAAAATGCTCAGCAATGCGATCAGTCCGATCGCCGCACTGGTGTAGTTCATCGAATCCGGAGTGACTGGTGCATCTGAAGGAAAGTTGAAGGTAATAAATGCAAAGAATAGAAACAGGAATCCCAGGCTGTGTAGACTGAGCGATATGGGCAACGGGAAAGAGTAAGGACCGTCGACGGGGGCGATGTCATGGCCAAAGAAATATCCGAGGAGGCGAGCAAGAAGAACTAGTGCGTAGGAGACGTCTATGATAGTGACACTGTCAGCTATATTCATATGTCCAGGTTTTATGGGAACGTCTTACAGAACCCCGTGGTCGCAATAGACACAACCGTATTAAACCCAGTGACGGTGCCGAAGTAGATCGAGTTGAAAGCCATTTGCACCACAACGGTGAACAATATCGCATATATCGGGATCTTTCTCCTCTTCTCCACCCGGGATAAAATCCCAGAGAAAGGCATTCCCCGGTCCCGTGCGAATGCAAATAGTGCTCGGGAGCCCTCCGCAACAAGACTCACCGAGGCTACCATCATGATTACCGTCATCATACTGGTCATAAAGCAGGCCGCGACTTTGCTTTGGGTTGAGTCGTAGAAGATCTGCAACACAGGGACGCCCGTAGAGGAGTTTGCAGTAGCATCAATGTCGCCGATGCAGAAGCAGAGCGCCAAGAGAAAAATGAACCCCGTAACAGCGCCCATACCAACGGACATGACCATGGCTTTGGGCGCATCTCGCGAGGCATGTGTCATTTCTTCGGTCATGTGGCTTGGAGTATCGTAACAGCACATGCCGAAGAAGCTTTGAAGGATTCCGACCATTGTTGCCATGGCGGATCCGAAGCCGGTTATATTCTGGAAATCCTGAAATACGAATGCGGCATCTTGTTTGTTTTTGTTGGTTGCTAGTAGAACTACGACGATGATGATGAACGAGCAAACGTTCCACAGCAGGATGGCCCGGGATAGACGGTTGAGCAGGTGAGGCAAGAACATATTGACCAGAAGAGCCCAGATTGCGCATGCATAAGTGACCAAGACAGTATGCCACCGCTCGATTACATATCCGGGATATACCAGGTTTGCTTGTCCGAGGATGAAGTTGGCTGCGAACGAGTTGTTCGCAGAGCCCATGGCGAGAATACCTGTCCTCGACTGAGCATCGTGACACAAATAGTCTGGAGATATACCATGGCTTACCCATTAGCATGAACCACCCCGTTATGTACGACATCTCTCGAGCGATCTTTGGCGGTGCTAGCAGAAAGACCCATGAATACTGCCCCCCGGCCACGGGCCACCTTGAGCACCATTCTGCCATGGATAGGGCAACCGCAAAGGTGATTACACACACGCCCAACCATCCGAAGAGCATAACCGGTGGGCCACCGGCATCTACTCCGATGATGAATACACCACTGAGCGCACTCCAGCTATCGTACATGTTAGTCAGCCGTTCGACATGGTAGGATCGGTGTGGACTACCAGGTAACGATACTAAAACTGAAGCCTATCATATCCAAGAGGCCGAACGACCGTTTGAATTCTGGAGTTATGAACGTTAGTCAATATACTTCCGATTCGAGACTCCACCAGGAATACTGTCTTACCTTGTTGATAGCCCAAGTGCTCAAGCGTGAGGTCTTCTTCGGTGCCATGGCCGAAGACATCTTTGGGCTCCACAGACATGATGCCGATGGTGGTGACTGCGCATCAAGGGTCTTGAGGCCGATCAGATTGACGACATATCTGCTATATATCCAGCCGGGACAGCATGATAAGCTCTTGACGATTATGTACCGTGTCGGTCGGCTGGCTCTGCAGCTCAGCTTGCCAAGTGGTGCTTATCAGCGGATCGACCGGTGACATACCGAGTTGGAGAACCGCCATTGGCAGGACGCGCATCTTCAGCAAGGGGCATTGGGCCTATCAAAGGAGTAACTTTATTGCTTTTTCGGACCCTCCGACATGCTTTCGACCTGCAGTTTTCGTTTGATTGAGCCAGCAGCGCGGTCGGAGTATGACTCAGCTGCTAGTGACTCCGATTGTGATGAACTAACTAGCGGGGTACGTACCTAGTCCCTTGCTATATAACCAGTCAATGACAATCAGCGCCCACATGATTCGAGATCGCTTTTGACACCCGCAATGGCTTACATCGAGAACTTACAAGGGCTCATAGCCCAACCGCTATTATTGGCGGTCCTCGCAATTTCTAGCGCCATATTCTGCAGATGCTTCTATCGCATCTACCTCCATCCTCTATCATCGGTGCCTGGTCCTAAGCTCGCAGCCTGCACTTCGCTATGGTTAGCATACCACACATACATCGGCGACGAATGTACAGTAGTATATGATTTGCATCGCAAATACGGCCCGGTATTACGAGTCGCTCCCAATGACGTTGACATCGCCGATAAAGATGCGCTGGAGCCAATCTACGTTGCTCGCGGTGGTTTCCCCAAGACACCAGTATATTCCAAGTTCGACATCGACGGACACACGACCATATTCTCCAGTCTGACGTTGCCTGAGCGAGCAACACGAGCGAAAGCTGTCGCCCCTCTTTTCTCTACGGCGTCAATTCGCAACTCTCAAGAAGCCTTACGCGAGATCTTCGACGACTTCGCGAAAAGACTGCAGGCTGAAGCACGCACTGGTAGACCAGTAAACGTGCTTAATGTAACACGTGCCATGGCAATCGATGCTGTAAGCACGTATCTGTTCCACGAGAGGTACGGCGCCATCACGGAGAATTCAGAGTCAATGTCGGCATCGCCGTTTGTGGATTCCTTCGTCGGAGTAGGTGCCTATTTCAATATCGTGCCGGGGAAAATCGGTGGTTTTGTCACCGAGGTCATTGAGCGCTGGAGCACGACCAAGAATGTGGAGCAGTCGCACGGACTGATCGACCAGTACGCTAGAAGGCTTGTCCAGACAGCGATACCAAAAAGTGGAAGCTATCAGAGCCGTTTGTTGGAGAAGTCGACCATAGCACAGTCTCAGATTGAAGTCAAAGATGTCTGTTTTGCAGGAACTGATTCCACGGGGATGAACACCGCGACGATCTTGTGGTATCTTGCAAAACACCCAGAAGTGTGAGTAGCAACAAGGCCAGAGTTGTACCCCAATGTCACTGACTGGGCTTTCCTGTAGTTATGATCGTCTCAGACAGGCGGTCATGAAGAGCATTGAAAACGACGAGGATCCAACCGCGTGCGCGTACCTGCGCGGCGTCGTCCGAGAAGGCCTACGTCTTTCTTGGGCCAATCCAATTCGCCTGCCCCGTGCCGTTCCGACTGGGGGCTGGAAGTATCGTGACTACTATTTCCCGGCTGGTACGAGTGTTGGCGTTGCGGCCTATCAGCTGCATCAAGATAGCAGCGTGTTCCCTGAGCCGCATCGTTTCCTTCCTGAGCGTTGGGATAACGCGGACGACGAAATGCTCACGGCATTCTTTGCGTTTGGAAAAGGAACTAGAGCCTGCATTGCCCAGTCGTTGGCAATGTATGAAGTCACCATGGCTATTTTCACCGTGGTCAAAGAAGATGTGCTGCGTGGAGCGTCGATCGTGGAAGACCGGATTGAGATAAAAGAATGGTTCAATTCCAAAGTCAAAGGGCATGAGATTTTGATAAAGTTCGCCAGTGAAGCGACATACACTCACCAAGAGTGAAACAGCTAACTAGAGACGTGTGTTTGAGAAAGCCTGAATGAGATGCCGCGCAGAATAGACACTTCAAAAGTCATCTTTAGAGAAATCAATATCCTTACCATCCAGCCACTCCGCCATTTCCTTGTATACCATGTCCCGCTCTTTGCCGAACAACTGGGGCAGATTCTGCTTAATCGGATAGCCTAGCCGGCGCATACCATAGGCCAGAAACCGGTAGCCTTTGGGCTCCTTAGCTAGAGACTCATGGTCAATATGTGGTGGTCGAGTAGGGTCCACTGGTACACATTTATCCTTCTCATAAATAGGATGATTGCAGAGGATTTTCCAGCCCTGCGGCTGCTTCTTCAAAAAATATCCAAAGCGACAGTCACTAAAACCATCCATGTTAGTAGACTCATATCTGAGACAGGGGAGAATTACCAGTCACAATCCCATTCAACACCATTCTCATCCGCAAAACGCCAGGAAATCGTACACTTCATTTTATCGATGGCACGATCACCCTTGATATCGACGGCGTGACCCAGGACCCGATGGCAAATGAATTCACCCTTAGCCCACCCTTCAGCCCAAGTATCAATGGCCTTGTCTCGATAGTTTTGCTGCCAGCTGATATTTATGAAGGCCTTGGGATCGAAAATCTCCCTCAGATCAGACCATTCGCAGGCATCGCGGTGAAGAGGCCAGCCTTCGCAGAGCTCGCGGATTTTGAACCGCTCTAGGGTAGAAGCATCATCGGTATTGTATGTCAGACGGTTGGATGCAGAAGGCGGTTCAGCACCCAAGCTGTAGTCGCCTTTTTCTGGCAGTTTGAAAAGTGCAGGCTTTCCAGTAGAGGGGATTTTGTCCGATTGGTTGATGCCGCTCATTGTATCTGTCTGTTCTTGAGCTTTGCAAGTGGATGTAGTATAGATGACAATCTGTTGGCATAGGAGGTACAATGAGGGATGGACAGAGGTCGAGATATAAATAGAGTGTCTGAATTGACCTTAATTAATTTCGAATGACCTAATTCTCTGACCTACCGGTAGTGGCGACGTATATACTTTTCGTGCCATTTGCATTCCAAGGTGGATCTTGGAAGCGGCTGTCATACCAGGTTTCCTTGGGTTTCCGAACCACATAGTCTGCTTCCTGCAGGGTGGTACCTTAAGGAGGAATTTCCACTGGTAGATGTGGAGGTGGAACAAAACAATAGTATGCAGTAGTTCCAAAGAGTGTCGGGTCTGTCAAGTTAGTGGTAGGAAGGGTGAGACCCGCTCTCCCCACATGACGGCCTCGATAGCCCAATTGTTGAGATGAGCTTAGATCGACTTCATTATAGCTTCTACTTCTAGTAAAGAGACATTCCAACGCCCATTCCTTGCCTGTGTAACAAGCAATCTTATCTCACATACCAGATCTCCACGGGCAAGTCTAAACCCTGACAATGTCCCATACATAGCCCGAATCTACCCGCGGTCTATAAACCACATACCGGTTCTACCCCGAGCTGCAATGCCGGCCCGACTAGGTTATTTTTACGATCTTGCATATAAACACTTGTGCAACATCGGGATCATACTTTGTACATTCAGCCTTACTTGAGGGTGGCACAGGCAATTATGTGGTGGATACTCCCTTGCCTTGTGTTTCCGTCTAGGGCGATGGACGTCAAGATCGTCGGTGTTACTGGGAGTTTGATGCAGTTGCAGACATCGGTTACGTGTAGATATTGAGAGAATAACAGCCTTCATGGGATGATGCGAGGGGCCAGTATAATTGGGACAGAAGGCATAGTGTCTATCTGAAAATAATGAGATGCAGTGCTATCCGCGTTTTTCTTGGTGGTATAGATTTTATTGATGTCCATTGGCTATAGGAGTGTGAAGTAATTGAATTTTAGTTCTTCTTGTATAGCTAGGTTAAAAAGCAAGCATTGCCAAAACAGCTTCACTGGTATTCGGTAGAAGTATGAATGGATGGAATCATGAACAGTTCAACTGTCTTAAACTGGCACTGACAATATGCATGCAAATGGTATCTGGAATGAGAGAAGTTTACAACTTGGCCAACATCTTGTTGCCCTTCTGCAACAGAGCAGCAGCATCGTCCACAAGCTCATCAACAATAGCCTTGGCAGGCTTCTTCTCGTTTACAACAGCAGCAACCTTGCCCATCAGGAAGGGGCGAGCGTTCTCAAGGGTTTCGTCGTCAACATCATCGGGAAGGTTCTCCATGTCGTGCTCGGCCGGGATAATACCCTGGGAAGTGAGCTTCTTGATCTCGTCTTGGCGGTTCTCCTCCCAGTTCTTGATGTATTCGTTGTTACGGACCCGGAGCGGGCGGCCCTAAAGAAGTTAGAAAATGAATCAGGTGTAGTGTTTCGTTGAACTTACCGTGAAGATAATAGTGCGGATTGTGTCGTCGAAGCCAGCGGTACGGACAGCCTCCTGGTGAGCCTTGGGAGCACCAGCCTCATCAGCCAGGATGAAGCGAGTACCAACCCACACGGCCGAAGCGCCAAGCATCAAGGCAGCAGCCACCGAGTTGCCATTGTACAAGCCACCGGCAGCAACCACCTGCACGGGCAGACCAGTCAAGGGACTCTTCTTGCCCTGGCACAGCTTGGCCACGGTAGGAATGAGGATCGTAGTGGGAACATTGCCAGTGTGACCACCACCTTCACCACCCTGAGCACAAATGATATCCGCGCCGGCATCGAGGGATTTCTGGACGTGCTTGGGGTGACCGATCATGTTCATGTACAGGATGCCTGCAGCATGGAGTCTGTCCACGACAGCTTTGGGGGGAACACCGACGGCAGAGACGAAGAGCTTAGCGCCACTTTCGATAATGATGTCGACAAGTTCGTTAAGCTTGCCCTTGGTGTAGTCGTAGCTAAGCAACGGAAAGCGCATTAGCATCTCGGGTTTCCGTTTGTCATACAATCACATGGGTATCTCACTTGGTCTTGCGGGCGCTTCCACCGACCTGGGGGAGCAGCAGATCAACACCAAAGGGAGCGTTCTTGTCATTCAGGAAGCTCTTGAGCTCAGCAATCTGCTCACGGAGCATGTCGGGGGTGTATCCGACACCTCCAATAACTCCCAGACCACCGGCGTTGGTGACCGCGGCGGCCAACTTAGGGCCGGCGGCCACGTTCATACCAGCCAGGAAGACGGGGTGGTTGATCTTGAGTAGATCAGTAAGAGTAGTACGGATTTTTTCTACAAGAGCAGGATGGCATTAGCATTCAAGATCCCCGAAGATTCCGGCGCATTGCATAGTGCATATGAAGAGGCGGTGGCGAGGAACTCACGCGGAGAAGCCATTTTCGAGGATCTGAAGAGGGGGTAAATGGATGACAGGTGGATCGGAGACCAAAAAATAGGTTCAAGGTAGTAATATGTCAGTTAGCAAGTTAAAAAGGGATGCGGAGACCCAGGGTATCCAAGTACAGTTATAAGGTAGTGAGTGTGCAGGCTGGAGGAGCCGAGGACAAAGAGTAACCAGCACGAGCCTCGGTCCAGGGCGTGTGATGGACCAGGCTATTGACGGCTGACTACCCCGAGTTTCCAGCCGAACCACCTGATTCCCGTTGCGGGGTTACCACACTTTGCCTATTCAGTTAGCCTATGATTAGTCGTGGTGGCTGGTGAAGTGTGGCTAGTAAACAGTGTTGTTCACGCCTCAGGCTGTCACAGCCGGAGTCAGGTGACGGGAGTAGCACGGCCCGCGCATGACGTATTTTCATTCCGGATTCGCTGTAGATCTCGCCTCTGCACTTCGTTTCTGAGCTCCGTGGCTGCTGCAGAAAGTATGAGACCCAGGCCAACGGTGACCTGGCATAGCAATGCTGTCGCCTTGACATCAGCTGTCCGCGCTTGTCGGTTCCCCAGCACAAGCCTGCTGCATTCTCAACCATGTAGAGGCGGATCAATTCTTAGCAGATCATTTGGCAGTTTGGTAGCAAGGCAGGTCTTTCATTGATAAGATTAGGGGTATCACATCTAACCTTCTATAGAAATCTGTCTATATCTGGTATGGCACCTTCTAGATTGAATTGGTACAACACGTACTTGTTATGTCCATCATGGTGACAGTCCTATCCTTGACGACAATGAATTTGTAGTTAGGATCTGGATCACAAACCTCACATGCGTAGTATCTAGAGCTGGACTAACTCACTACCAGAGCCATTGGACATCAATCGCCTCAACAGAGGCACATTGAGCGGCATCAATGCAAGGAGATCCCGCCATGAGATCCTAAAGCCCCTGTGTCACACTCGCAAGCTTACAACCAGCCGAGCATATCTATTCAACCCCAGCATGGATCGAGTACATCCCTCCACCCATCGGGCATTCATTGCCTTTGGCAGCAATGTCGGAGACCGCATTGATATGATCGAGGCTGCTTGCCGCGAATTGGAGCGCGCCAACATCCGAATCAAGCGGACGAGCTCCCTCTTCGAGACAGCTCCGATGTACGTCCTCGACCAGGATCCCTTCATCAACGGAGTGTGCGAGGTACGTCCCACCCCCCATTTTCAACACATCAAACTCTAACCTCTCACAGGTCGAAACCAGTCTATCTCCCATGGAACTGCTGGACACCCTGCAAGCCATCGAGCTAGGCCTCGGCCGGAAGAAGCTCATCGACAAAGGCCCACGCTCAATCGACCTGGACATCCTCCTGTACGACGAGCAAATCTTCACGCACGAGCGTCTTGACATTCCGCACAAACTGATGCTCGAGCGCGACTTTGTCCTCCGACCCCTCTGCCAGTACGTTCTCCCCCTTCCCCTCCCTATTCCCAATCACCACTAACCACCAACAGACTAATCCCGCACGAACGCCCCCCCTTCCTAGGCCACTCCCAAAGCTACCTCAACCACCTTAAAACCCTCCCACCTCCATCTCCCACCCCCCACCCAACAACCCCCATATCACCCCTCTTCCCCCCAATCCACAGCACCAACCCGTCCCGCCCAACCCACATAATGGCCATCCTGAACCTAACCCCCGACTCCTTCTCCGACGGCGGCACGCACTCCCCCACCGACCTAAGCACCCTAACCACAACCGTGCACAACATGATCCGCTCCGGCGCCACCATAATCGACATCGGCGGCGAAAGCACCCGCCCGGGGTCCACGCCCGTCAGCGAATCCGAAGAACTATCTCGAGTGATCCCCGCCATCAGACACATCCGAACCACCATCCCAGAGGCCGCCCACATCGCCATCAGCATTGACACGTACCGGGCCCGCGTCGCCGAAGAAGCCTGCGCCGCCGGCGCGGACATCATCAACGACGTCTCAGCGGGTCTCCTCGACCCCGAAATGCTGCCTACCATGGCGAGGACCGGAAAATCAGTCATATTGATGCACATGCGCGGCACTCCCTCCACGATGACAAAGTTAACCGACTACCCCAACGGAATCATCCAAGACGTAGGCAATGAACTCCTCGAACGGGTCGCCGCTGCAGAAGCAGCGGGGATTAGACGGTGGAGGATGATATTAGATCCCGGGTTAGGGTTCGCGAAGAATGAACCTCATGATTTGACTATCTTGAGGGAGTTGAACAAGTTGAGGACGGGGATTGAGGGACTGGAGTATTTCCCGTGGTTGATGGGACCGAGTCGGAAGAGGTTCGTGGGCAGGTTGACAGGGGTCAAGGAGGCCAAGGATAGGACTTGGGGGACGGCGGCGACGGTGACGGCGAGTGTTGCGGGGGGTGCGGATATTGTTAGGGTGCATGATTTTAAGGAGATGTGGCAGGTTGGAAGGGTGGCGGATGCGATTTATAGGGGGGTGGTTTGATGGGGTGGATGTGAAAAATGGGGAGTTTTGTGGATTTGTATATTCAACTATAGGATTGTGGATGGGATAAAGATATATTGTGTATAGGGGGGACGGGACTGGCGTATCGGTTTCCCAGCTTGTTTGGGCGTTGGGAAGGGTTCAACCCCAGTTAACATTGATTGTAGATAGTTATTGGCAGGATTGAGTTAATTATCCTGTGATGATGAGTACACAGTCAGGTAACATCCACATCTATACTGAAAGCCATGGGGGGTAAGTGAATAGATGAAAGAATATCTGTTCAGCAATTTATCCTAGCTACGCTATGAGCAAAGCAAAGCAAATTCTGAAGGGGAGTGTTATCCAACGAAGCAAAACAGCAAATAGCGAGTGACAGGTATAACTTAACCAACCCAACAAAAGCATCACCCACAAGCAAAGATAGATCACCAAGCCAACCGAAACTGAACCAAACACATCAGAGACCTATATAACCCACCAAACCATCACCCACTCCCCTCCCCAGCAGAACCCACCCCCAACTCCTCTGGCTCATCCCACTCCTCAGCCGGAAAAAACCCACTAAGAACGACATAATCCCCGGCCTGGCTCCTACTCAACTTCATCTCCCTAACCTTCTCCAACAACTGCAACTTAACAAAGTACCGATCCAGCTTCAACGGCGGAAACATGAAGTTCTCCAGCCTATACTGGCTATAAAACACCGTCTGACCATCCTCGGTAATCCCAAACGGTTCCGTGACATCCGTCCGCCTGTTGTACTTCTTCTGCTGCAACGGAGGCTGACATGTCAAGAACGCCTGCTTGAGATCCGGATAGCGTTCTGGGCTGAGATAGCCGATAACGGTCTCGCCCTCGTACGTGGGTTCGTTAGTGATAGGGTGCTTGAAGTGTTTGACGGCGTAGATTAGGCCTTCCCGGTCTGAAGAATTGCCCACGACGTGGTGCAGGTGGCCGCGGCCTGCGGGGCCGTGCTCGATCCAGAGCCCGTGGCGGTATGGTGGCCAGGTGTTGTCGTGGAAGTCTTGGGCGCCTGGGGGGAGGTGGAACCAGACGTGGCTGATTTTCCAGGATGGGTAGGGGGCTCTCGGCTTGGGGTAGGTGGTGGGAGAATCTGGTGATGGAGGAGGAGGGGGAGGAGATGTTTCTGGTCGGAGGGGGACTTCGGTTTGGATAGGGGTCCTTCTTCCGGTGTAGAAGGTGGTTCGTGTTTCGGTGTTGAGGGGGATTTGGCTGGACATGATGGTTCAGATGGGGTGGGTGAGGATTAAGAATGAAGGTGTTTAGGGTGGGCGGTAGGTATGGATATTAGGGTTATGAGGCGGAGAAGAGGGATGAGAACTGGTGGGCATCTTCGAGATGAAAAGGTTATATATGAAGGCATTGGTTGAATGTAGATGGAAGGAGAGGCTAGGGAAAGTGCGCCTGTGCTGTATACCGCGGAAGACTTTCGATGTAAACAACATACTTATTGCATGCATGCTGAAGTAATGGAGTTGGCTTTTCATTCACTAATTCAGTTCTAGACTTGTAACCTACTAAGTTCAACGACGAATATACAAGGATTCAAAGCAGCCAAACATGTTCAGTGGAAGGCAATTGAAGATTTCTACTAACGCAGAAGAGCAGCATGGATGCGAGTGATACCGACCTGAACCGTTAATTCAGCAACGGAACCTGACGCACAGAGCCGGTCTAAGCGAATGGAGAGCACTGCGCCAGCCATGTTGACGAAAAGTTCTGTTCATGAGGGTACTAATCAGGGGAATAGAAGACGGAGACAGAAACGCCACAGATGAAGGAGATCGAGGAGAAAGCTGGCTAACAAGGGTCAGGATAAGCCGGAGGTAAGAATTGAAAGATTAGCAGTGAGTTGTCGCGCACATATCTAGCTGTTAAGGTAGCTGCGTATAGCGCCTATATTTCTTGTAAGTAAGAGTCGGTGTGAAGACAATGGGGATAGACTGACCTTGCAGCTTAGTTGCGCCCTCCCCAACGAGCTGCGTCAGGTTTTCAAGGTCATCACCCGCGGTGATACCGAACCGACGCACAAAGTCCTTGGCAGCATTTTCGAGATCACCGTAGGTATCATCGGCAACGGGAAGATCATCCTCAGGACGTCCAAAGTAGGAGTTGCTCGAGATAGCCTGGGCGCCGTCGAATTGACGAAGGCGCTCCTTGGCTTCAGCCTGAGCATTGGGGTCGAAACGATCGCGTCCGAAGAACTCGTCGGAAGAGATACCCTTTTGGCTACCGAAGCGAGACTTGGCCTGCTTCAACTCTTCATCTGTAAACATCGTTAGCCATCATCCTCACCACTATAAGAGATAGGCAAGTCGCATACCATCAGCTGCAGACCGAGGGGCAACAGCACCGAAGCCCGGCTTCTTCGGGGCAGCCGGCTTCACGCCGACAGTCTGTCCAAATCCGAGTCTTCCAATTCCCATGCCAAGACGCTCCACATCACCCGAACTGCGTTCTTGGGTGTTCCTGCTAGGGCTGATAGGAGTGGGCGAAGCGATCGCCGTGGCAGCGGTGGTGGTCGTCTTGGCCTTAGCATCAGCCTCAGCCTGCTCAGCTTCAGGGTCGTAGCCCAGCTTCTCAATGCGCTCAGCCTCCTCCTTAGCCTTTCTCTCAGCCTCATCGAAGTCGATAATTTCCGCGGCGCCGATCTTCTTAGCCCCCAGCTTGGGGGCCTTCTTGGCGCCCAACACGCTGCCCTTCTTCGCAGTGGTGGTGGAAGGAGTCTTACGGACAGCAGCGCTGGCCCGGATGGCGGTAGGGGCAGGCGAAGAGCTGTCCTTGTCGGAAGCGGACAGGGGCGACTTGGAGCGGGAACCGTTTGCGCCGGAGTTCAGGAAGGGCGAGCCAGTGCGGCTGACAACCGGAGGGGTACCGGTACGGGAAGGGGGGTTGCTGGGGCGCTTGATGGAGGGCTTGTCCCAGGAGGAGAAGAAGTCGTCATCCTCGGCGGCGGGGGTACTGGAGCCGTTGGACGGAGTGCCAGCGGGGATATCGGTAATGACAACTTCTCCGGGGTACCTGTGCGTAATAAAGGCATTAGACATGTAAGATATGCAAAATGCCCAGGGCCACTAACTGTTGCGCATCCTGCGCAGCGCGTCTCTTGAGCTCCTCCTTGTACTTTACGGCGGCGTTGCAGGTGTACTTGACTTTGACGTCCTTGCTGGCGAGAGCGGCAGAACCGCCGTGCGATTGGAAGTACTTGGTAGCGGACTCGTTACCGCCGACCTTCATAACTCGGAGCTGTTCCCATTGCCATTCTGCACGTATCACATTAGCACCGACGGACATGGTAGTCAGGAGATGCGATGAAGCATACGGTCGAGGTTGGTGGAGCGAACGAAGGAGATATGCACGCCCAGGTTACGGTGGTTGGCTGAGCAGTCAAGGCACAGGTAGATACCGAAAGGCACAGACGACCATGTTGGGTTCTTGGAGCCGCAATCGAAGCAGATCTGTGGAGGTCAAAAAAAAGCAAGAGTTAGAATGGCTGGTCGGAGTAATAGTAATAATAACAATAAGTCTGGCGGGGAGGGGCACTGCGCGCCTTGTTTGCGGGCTTGAGTTTTAGCTTCTCAAAGATCTTCTGAGACTCCGTTTTGGAGGCACTCATGATGGACGAATTGAATAATATAGAGAAAGACCCGAGGGAGAGGAAGAGGAACGGGCCAGCAGGCGGAATAGGATTATGACACAACGGAGAGGTCGGGGAGGGAGAGAGAGGGAGAGGGAGATCCGAAAAGGCGAAGCGGGAGAGACGAACGTGGTCGGATTGGGATTGGGAAGTGCCCCGTTTTGTGACCCTGTCAGATTTGCAGGATGATCCGGTAATTTTAAACTTCAGGTCTGGATTTCGGGGGGGTGGCACATCTAGAACAGCCGCTAGTGGCGAGGATGTTCACAGCCATTGTCATTGAAGACTTGCTATAGAGTGTTTTTCAGATTCTATCAGAATACTATCTCAACTAATCACTTAATTTACATACCATGTCAGACATAAATCCCCGAGCACTTGGTACTAATTCCGGCAACCAAAAAGGAAACCCCCGTCCTGGTCCCTGACCCTCCGTACTACAAATACACACACCCCTACTACTACTCCATCCATACCCGAAACTTTGCAAACATCCGCGGCTGAAACACCGCCGGAAGTGGATTTACCACGTGACCCACTCCATTCCCCACACGCCCATCATCCACGGCTCTCTGCTAAAGTCCCATCCGACAATAATTTCATGATACCAATATCCAGCGGTGAACAACAGCTGGAATTCGACGCGGGCTTACCTACCGGGTGATGGTAAACAACAATACCTAAATCAACCGGAACAATCAACACAACAACACCCACAATGCTCCCATCAGCAGCGCCCTACCAACTACTACGACCTAGTAGTAACCGTGCCGCTTTGCGCCGGCTCCAACTCCAACACATCGGTCTTCTTCCCCGCAGCAGCACAACAACAACAACCACAGAAACAACATCATCACTATCACTACGAAAATACGCCACGACACAAGGCGCCGCCCCGAAACGACGAAACGTGACGGTTCTCTCCGACGACGGACGCTACGAGTGGGGAGAATTAAGCGGGCGGGAGAAAGTCGCGAGGGCGACGCAGCAGTCGGTGAATTTCGTGGTGATTATTGCGGGGGCTGTGTTGACGGTTCGTTAATCTGAACAGTTAGTATGTGTGTGACACGGGGATTGATTGCTGATATATGTGTGTGTGTTGCGAGTAGGGCGGAGTCTTCTACCTTCTCTTCACGGAGGTCTTTTCCCCGAATAGCAAGACATGGCAGTTTGAGAAGGCGGTCGAGCGCATCAAGGATGATGCTCGGTGTACGGATCTCCTGGGTGATCGGAGGGAGATCAAGGCGTATGGAGAGAATACGTGGAGTAGGTGGGCGAGGAATAGGCCTATTGCGTATGTTGCTTCTATTTATTTTACTGCCTCTCGGCAGGGAATTGGGGTGTGGTGCTAATGGAGATATAGGACGTCCGTGTATCAGGATAGACTGGGTCGCGAGCATTTGAAAATGAACTTTCATGTATGTGATGCTCTCTCTTTTATCGTTTGGGATTGGTGTGTGGTATACTGATTGGTTGTGATATAGGTCGAGGGTCCGCTTAATTCCGGAACTGTGTTTGTGCACATGATGAAGCCGTTGAATGAGCATCACTGGGAATATCAGCTTCTTGCTTTGGAAGTGCCGGGTATGTTTGCTTCATAGACTTCGATTTTCTGGGACGGTTGAACTGACTTGTATAGGACATTCCCGGGTTGTGCTTGAAGAAGCGCGCGAGAAGCCTGGTGTTGGACAGGCGCTGAAGATCTTTGGTATTAAGTGGCGGTAGATGAGAAGCGCCATTTGGACCGGCATATGAAGGGACTGCAGTCATCCCGAATATGAATACTGTATTATATACGTGAACTGTTTATGAGTGTAAAATATACCATAGGAGAACTGATTCCAGATAGGTCGATGCTAGCGACCTTATATCATTATAACTCACTTTATGTTGACCAGTGTGATGTATGCATGCATCTCATAATTCTAAACATCGTATAAAAACAAAACTCATATCACATATATACAACACGACCCTTTTTATCTCCCCATTATACTATCCGGGGTCCCTCCAGAATGGTCTTCGCCTCCTCCGACCTCCACCAACTCTTGCCCTCCTCACCAGGGAACGAAAACGCATCCATGCTCTCCGCCTTCATCTCAACACTATATCCGGGCTCCATCGGGGTGACATAGTAACCATCCTTGACGCTAGACGGGTGCACGAAGTGCTCGTGCAAGTGATCCACATACTCCAACACACTCTTCTTTCCACTGACCACCACGTAATCAATCGTGCTCAAGTGCTGTGTGTACTCAGGCAGACCGACACCACCGGAGTGGGGCACAATCGGCACGCCGAACTTGCGCGCGAGCAGCAGAATGGCCAGAACTTCGTTGACACCGCCGACACGGCAGGCGTCGGCCTGCAGGACGGTCAGGGCTCCTGCCTGCAGGAGCTGCTTGAAGACAACGCGGTTCTGGCACATTTCGCCGGTGGCCACGCCGATGGGGCCGTAGGGGGTGTCTTGGAGGGCCTTCTTGATGGCGGCGTGGCCGAGGATGTCGTCGGGGGAGGTGGGCTCTTCAATGAACCAGGGCTTGAATTCGGCGAGTTGCTGCATCCAGGTGATGGCTTCCGGGACGGACCAGACCTGATTTCACATGAGGTGTTAGCATTGTGGACGGTGGAGGGTATAGTGGGTGGAAGGTAGGTACCTGGTTGGCATCAACCATGAGGATGTTGCCCTTGTCATAACCAATGGCTTCACGAGCAATAGCCAATCTCCTGCGGTCTTCCTCGACGT